CAGCCCTGTGGGGCAACCCCCACCCCCGGGGGCTCCTCTGCGCACACACCACCCGGACTGAAATCCGGTCCCCCTGCCCCGTATCCGATGGGGTCTCTAAATCTGGTCGATTCTAGATGACACTCGTCCTCCCCCACCTCCACACCACCTCTGCATGCTCCAGCGGGACACCTCTGTTCCCTCAACGGGCCAGGATCTTTTCCATTGTTGAGACTGCACAGCCGGCTCCCCTCTGTCTGTGCCGTGCTGCAGACTGAATGCTTCTGGCCTGCCCAGACTCACATGTTGAAAGCCCACCCCCAAGGCAATGGCCTTAGAAGGTGGGGCCTTTGGGAGGTGATTAGGTCATTAAGGTGGAGCCTCCTGAATGGGGATGAGTGCCTTGCTTTTTTGTTTGTTTTAATGTTCATTAAATATTTATTTTTGAGAGAAAGAGCGACACAGAGTATGCGTGAGGGAGGGGCAGAGAGAGAGGGAGACACAGAATCCGAAGCAGGCTCCAGGTTCCAAGCTGTCAGCACAGAGCCTGACGGGCTCGAACCCATGGACCGTGAGATCATGACCTGAGCCAAAGTCAGACGCTTAACCGGCTGAGCCGTCCAGGCGCCCCATGAGCACCCTTCTAAAAGAGACTTCAGAGAGTTCCCTTGCTCCTTTGCCGTGTCAGGAGACAGATGTCTGTGAACTGGGAAGCAGGCTGTCACCAGACACAGAATCTGCCAGCACCGTGGTCTTGGTGGCCTCCAGAAGAGTGAAAAACAAATGCCTGTTGTTTAGAAGCACCCCCGGCCTGCGGTGTTCTCTTTCAGCAGCCCGAATGGACTAAGACTCTCTTCCACCCTCTGTCTGTGTCCCCACCCCGCATGTCCCCCGTGAGTCTCCTCCAGAATCCAGCGCCTCACTAATCTCTCCAACTAGGACGATGCCCATCTGGTGCCTCCAGAGATCTTTCCACAACATCCTATGCCCACACCCACGTTCCCTTGCCATGCTTACTTCTTCACACGTCTGCCGTCTCCCCTACAACACACTTCACACTCCGAAACCAACGGTCGTTTCCCACTCGTCTCTGTGTCCGTGGGCCTGAGAGGCTCGCACCCAGTCAAAGCTTAGTCAATATTAGCCGGTTATCTGAGTGAATCAGTGAATCATTTGGTTAATTCCCCCAAACCCCCAGGAAGAAGAGAGCTGGGGGCCAAGCTGCTGTCCCCGGGGGGGGGGGGGCATCTAAGGGACATTCGTGCAGGTTTTGGGCCCCGGACCGCAACTGTTTACTGTGTGTTCTTTATTTCTTTGTATGTGACAAAGAAAAAGAGAGAGCCACAAATGGAAATGGCAGGTGGGTTCTATAGACGACAGGACCAAAAGAAGGAATTTGCCATTCATTGCAAGAGAGACCTAGCACCTGACCCACTCATATCTCTATCTAAAATTACTACATTTACTGGGGCACCTGGGTGGCTCAGTCGGTTGGGCGTCTGACTTCGACTCGGGTCATGATCTCGCAGTTTGTGAGTTCGGGCCCTGCGTCAGGCTCTGTGCTGACAGCTCAGAGCCTGAAGCCTGCTTTGGATTCTGTGTCTCCCTTTCTCTATCTCTATCCTTCCCCCACCCACACTTTGTGTCTCTCTCGCAAAAATAAATAAACATTAAAAAAATTTTTTTAATAAAAAAAAGAAATTACTATGTTTACCACTTAAGCTAGAATTGCCAGGTAAGATCATCAAACCAAAAACCTCCACATAGCCTTGGTGAAGATCAGCCCACCATCACTTTAGAAAGATTTACCCCAGGGGCGCCTGGGTGGCTCAGCTGGTTAGGCATCAGACTCTTGGTTTCGGCTCCAGTCACGATCTCATGGTTTCATGAGCTGGGCTCTGTGCTGACAGTGTGGAGCCTACTTGGGATTCTCTCTTCCTCCCCCTCTCTCTGCCTCTCCCCCACTCCTGCTGTCTCTGTCTCTCTCAAAAATGAATACACAAAATTAAAAAAAAAAAAAAAAAAAAAAAAAAAAAAAAAAAAAAAAAAGGCTTTACCCTGGAGGTCTTTGTTGCGCATAATCTAAAACACCTTCCCCGGGCTTCTCTGAAGGCATGTTTTGCTGAAAACCAGACAGGAAGGAAGGCCATATTCCCTAAGGGTGGCTTTGATACTAAGACCCAGAAGAAAGAGAATGAAAAGTTGGTTCCACTTGATAAAACCCGTATTGCAATTTACTATTACCAAAGTGTCCGTTTGAAGTCAAAACAAGTTCTAGATAAGCCCTTCATTGAGAGACCAGAAAAAAAGGGGAAGGGGAGATTAAAGCAGTCAGAGTGGAATTCTGATTAGACAGTCATTAATTAAGACCATGAAAGTCCCGTGGAGTCTTCTTTGATTGGAGAAATAGTTGATTACAGAATTAAAGGCTTTGGGGGAAATCTTTGCATGCCGAAGAGAGCCAAAAATTAATTCTGGGATTTTAAAATTAAGGCATTATTAAAGCTAGGGCGTTGCTTGTAACCAGAAGACCATGTCAGTTTAATCAGACTCTTATGGGGAGAGAGAGAGGGGGCAACTGGTGGTTGGTTGCCAGAGGGGAATGGGTAGGGGATGGGAGAAATAGGGGAAGGGGATTAAGAGCCACAGACTTCCAGTTATAAAGCAAATAAGTCACGGCGGATGAAAAAGTACAGCATAGGGAATACGGTCCATAATATTGTAATCACTTTGCATGGTGACAGAGGGTAACTATTTCGTAATACATATAATTGTCGGATCACTGTGGTACGCCTGAAATCGGTGTGATATTGTGTATTAACTTAACTCCAAGTTAAAAAAGAAAAAATTAGGGGCGCCTGGGTGGCGCAGTCGGTTAAGCGTCCGACTTCAGCCAGGTCACGATCTCGCGCTCCGTGAGTTCGAGCCCCGCGTCGGGCTCTAGGCTGATGGCTCAGAGCCTGGAGCCTGTTTCCGATTCTGTGTCTCCCTCTCTCTCTGCCCCTCCCCCGTTCATGCTCTGTCTCTCTCTGTCCCAAAAATAAATAAACGTTGAAAAAAA